GGAGGATTAGGAGGTTTTGATCCCGTTGGAGGATTGGGAGGAGGATTTGGATTGGGTGGAGGTCTTGGAGGATTGGATGGAGGATTTGGAGTTAACCCAGCACTTGGAGGAGGATTCGGATTCAACCCAGCTCTTGCAGGCGGATTTGGAGTAAACCCTGCCTTCGGAGGAGTAAATCCTGCATTCACTCCTGTGGCTCCTCCCTCCACATGCCGTTACTGGTGCAGGACACCCGAGGGTCAGGCCTACTGCTGTGAGAGCATCGACCAGCCACAGAGTGCTGCCGGTGTAGTCAAACCGGGATTCTGTCCCCCCGTTCGTCCAGTGTGTCCTCTTAGGAGCTTCCAGCCACCATTCAATTGCTCTAACGACGGCGCTTGCGGAGGCATCGACAAGTGTTGCTTCGACAGGTGTCTCGGCGAGCACGTGTGCAAGGCTCCTCTGGGAATCGGACGATAGGTATCCTGTGCTTATTGCAGGTGTTTGATGAAATTCGTCAGTACCTTTGCGAGGTAGGATGAATATGTGTGAAAAACATTGTAAATATGATACAAAATTAAATATTTGAAAACCGAAATCGTTCTTTTATCGTATCCTTCCATCTCGTCTTAAAAGTTTATAGAAAAGTTATGGGAAATGAACTATGCTTGATATTTCCTGCTGCCGAAATGTATCACTGTTCTTGACCAACTATTCGGTGTATGAATGTAAAATGTGGTTAACTTGTGTGTGACGTAGAAATTCCCGATTTAGACTAGGTTGCACGAAGTTATACCCGCGATAATCCTGTAGGCTCATTTCTCCAAGAAGCTACGTATTTGGGGGAGATCAGCTATCGAGATTTCACGAAGCTTTTCATGAAAATTCATGTCAGATAAACTGTAATTGTGATTGATGGATGTACTTTATATATTTTACAAAATCACTCACAAATTATGCAAAATCAAATATCAGCTAAGTGGCTTGTATAAATATGTGCATGCATATATATATGTGTGTGTGTAGAACATATGTATGCGTACGCGTATGTGTACATAAAACATATAAACTACTTTCTGTAGACCTAGAAGTCACCAGGTCACTTCATTTGATTAGAAATTGCCAGTGAAAATGTTCCTATAAGATTATCATACCCCTGTAAATGAAGAATCCCACTAGATAATGGAATGACCCCAAAGACTTCTACAAATCAGCGCCCAGAATTGGTGAAAACGTTCCCGAAGCATGATTTTGAAAAACAACCGTCAGTGTCACCATCGTCGAGGCTCCATGCTTATGTGGAAAAGATTTTTAGCCTGATTTCATTATAGGCAAATACCAAATACTTTCCTTAAATTGATGGCACGTGTTATATATCAACACTGCTTACCCTGCATAACATACATAAGTTTGCATAGGTATATTCATGCACTCACACCCTACCTATAAAAGCACATGCATGCACGTATATTTCAAGTGAATTTCACATATATTAGCACTACTCATAAGTTTATGGTTCACATACATTTTCAATATATATATATATATATATATATATATATATATATATATAGTGTGAATATATAACCTCTCCGATAGGGATTCGAACCCTCACCGCCATTACAAGGAACTTGCAAGACTCTAACCAATGATACACGACCGACTAAAAGGAGTGTGCAACTAGTTGCACAAGTTCCTTGCAATGGCGGTGAGGGTTCGAATCCCTATCGGAGAGGTTATATATTCATGATACCAATGCCGTATGGCATTATTCCATTTTTCATATATATACAGTATATAAATGTTTGATATATATGCACATACATATATATGCATTTATATATACATATTTATATTATAGATATATGTGTGTATTTTGTATTTATTATGTATATATGTGATAAATACAACACACACACATATATATATGGAAAATACCATATTTATATAAAAAAACACATGTAAACAATATATTCTCAGTAATATTAGCTATATCTCAGCAATGGCGCATATAACCACTCAATATACTTCTAAACATATCCAATGAATTTTCTATTTACATTTTTACATTCGTCATAATGGAAAACATCTGTTATTCACAATGAAACTATCCTACCCCGAGAAGGAGGATGACACTGAGGATACCTATCACCAACAGAGATGCCCAGAGGAGCCTTGCACACGTGCTCGCCGAGACACCTGTCGAAGCAACACTTGTCGATGCCTCCGCAAGCGCCGTCGTTAGAGCAAGTGAATGGTGGCTGGAAGCTCCTAAGAGGACACACTGGGCGAACGGGGGGACAGAATCCCGGTTTGACTACACCGGCAGCACTCTGTGGCTGGTCGATGTTCTCACAGCAGTAGGCCTGACCCTCGGGTGTCCTGCACCAGTAGCGGCATGTGGAGGGAGGAGCCACAGGAGTGAATGCAGGATTTACTCCTCCGAAGGCAGGGTTTACTCCAAATCCGCCTGCAAGAGCTGGGTTGAATCCGAATCCTCCTCCAAGTGCTGGGTTAACTC